ACCAGGGAAGAGCAACAGATACAAAGACAGTGAAGGGAAAGTGAAAGAGAAGGAAGGAGGACAAGGAAGGGAAGTGGTGCCACAGGGACCCATTTCCCATTGGAGAGGTATTCAGTGAGATGAGACAAGGCTGAGACTACTATATTATCTCCTTTTTATTAGGGTACTTTAAATTTATATTTCAGGTCTCGCTATTTTAAAAAGTCAGAGTCATAGACCCTCCAACACCCAGTACTTTAAATGGCTGCACTTGTACCACAATAGGAAATCAGGGGATAACTTGTAAAATTTGGAAATACTCTTTTCTAATTGTTGATTACATTCGCATTTTTCTCTGCTGTGCTGAGACCTTGGAAACTGTTTTTAGACCATATTAGAAAGCCTGTAGGAGCCCAGAAGCCTAGTTTATAAAGCAGCGATGTTCACAATATCTATTTAAGTCCTTCTGAGCAATATCTATTCTCTAAATAGTGCAACCAAAGGGAACTATGTATCAGGCCAGAAAGAAGTGCAAGGTGCCCACTTTTCTTAATCCAGGCTGAAAACTGACAGCCTGTCACAAGGTATCCTGTGGCTTGGAATTGGACTAAAAGAACAGGCTGATTTAATCAAAGGGCAAAGTGCTCATGTTGTTTCAACAGCTCAATTTCTGCAACAACTCTGACAGAATTACTGAGCAGTGTAGCCTAAAGGGAGAAAGTGCAGCAACTTGAAACTGGGAATGAGGTTCTGTGAGAGCTTGAGAAACAGTTTGCTGGAGAGATGAGCTACAGAGCAACTTTCAACGCCAAGCTGGAGTGTTTAAAGAAGAAGATGGGGAATAGCCTAAACTACATGACAAATGGAAATATTTCAGGAAATCTGACTAGCATTATGGTAAGTGCTGAAGATTTTAAACAGCCTCCATTCTCATTTATTCTGCTTTTGATGTACATACCATTGTTGTTTTTTAAACCAGGAATCTAGAAATTGTATCATCTGAGAATGGATTGGTCTGTTTTGTTCTGCATTTTATTTCTTATGTGAGCTGTCTGTGGTTACCTCTACGCATTTTAGGCCAGGCAGCTTCTTTATTTTTGTTCAGTATGTGGCGCAGGGTAAACATATGCTGTTTTCCAATTGCTATTATTCAAGAACTGTAAAGTTCAATTTTTTTAATACCTACAATTAAAGGAGGGTACTTAATTAGAAAAAAACCCTGTAAGGCTTCAGTGAGAGTATCTCAAATACCTTTTTACAGATAGGGTATTTTGCAGATGGAGTACTAAAAGAACTCCAATTAGAAATAGAGGGCAGCTCTAAAACCCTGGGATGCAAACTTGTTGGTTTCATGGAATGAAATGTTTTCTATAGATTCGTGCTCACTGTTTTATGGAAAGTCTCCTGTAATTTCACTCTTTGCTTTATAAGCAACTTTCATATTCTGTGGATGCATCTACATGATATGTTTACTGTGGAGTTGCTTAATTAGCTCTGCAGTAAAGTCTCAATGTCTACATGTGACCCTATTAGACCTCAGTAAACTAATAAACACCATAGGTTATTACTTGTAAACACAAGTACTATCCTGTGGCAGTATTATTTAGTGCATTGCAATGTACTTGTAGATACTGATAGGGCTGGCTGGGGCATAAGAGTGCTACAGTGTGGGGGCTTCCTGATGTTTAGTCCCACATGGGAGCACTCTTGTGCCCCAGCAGGCCCCTCTACAGCATGTTGAACTGGGTCAGAGCAGCCCCAGGCTGGCAGGCTGACCCCCTGGACCTCTTCCCAACTGGGGCTGCTCCCAGTTGGTTCAACTTGCAGTAGTCTCAGGCACACATGTAAACACGGTGCCCAGGAGCAATAAACTCCAGTGCGAACTGTGCTGGAGTTTATTCAGTTGAATTGATTGCATGCATAGATGCACCCTATTTCTCTAGGAATTTTTTTTTTTATTATTAATAACATTGCACTGTTATTAATATTGCTCTGCTGCTACATACTGTAGGTCAAAAAGCAAGCTAACAAGGCATCTGAAGAACTACAAAGATCAAGAAAAGATCACATTTTTCTGAAATGCAGAACACAGCACTATCAGAATCAAAAGAGGGAACTCCAGGCTTGAAACATTTTACAGGTGATTCATGAGGTGTAAAGGCAGACATGATACTACCAGGTCTCTGCTTTGTTTTTGAAGTTTAGCATGCAAGTTTAGTGACCAGGTTGATGTCTTTGTCAATCATTTTTCTCCTTTAAACAACCTGTGTAGCCAAGTTCCTGGGATGGTTTGCAAAAATGTTACTGTTGTATGTATGTTGAATGATACAAATCTGCTAACCCACTAATAAAAGAGGTTCCCTTCATAATACTAACTGTAGTTACCCACAAATACGTTAAGAAACTGAAAATATCTGAGGTAAAACCAGTAGCATAACCAGGGGTTGATGACCAGGAAGTTGATCAGGACACCAGCCCCACTGGCACTGATATTGAGAGGGCACAAATGTTGGCCACTGCTGCCGCCCAGGGTGCAGTAACTGCATGCTAGACCTCTGGGTATCACATTTGCATTTGGCTTTTTTTAATGCTTTTGCACAAGCCTGTGCTTTAAGAAAGTTTAAGGAAATGTGTGTTTTATTCAGCGCCTCGCACAGTAATTTACATGCCATCGTGGCATATTTTCACTACTTCTATATTACATAATTAATTCATTTTGTTTTGGGATGTCAGGCATGGTGACTCAACTGGAAGCACTGTAATAAGCTGCATAGGGAGAGAGTCTCATGTCACTTGACTGCTGTTCTTTGAAATGTTGTTCTTTCTTGGCTTGTATCAAATGCCACAAAATATTACACAATGTGTTAGCTTTTATTTTAGAAAAATGAAGTGAAATAACTTTAGAAAACCATATGCATGGACACAGTCACATGTCATGCATACATTGAACAGAAGCAAAGTCACGCCGTACCCTGACAGCTATCTGTGGCTCTGGAATGAAGTGAAATGTTGTTACATCCCCTCTTCCAACAGCAGTACTTTAAAAACTACCTTCTCCTGAGATCTTTTAAAGAAGCAGGGAGGCAACAGGAGAGGGAGAAACACGATGGGGGCTCCAAATGACAGAACCCTGACCACAGTACATGAGCAGGACCCACATTCTGGGATGAAATTTAAAGATTTAGGATCTCGGCAAATAAAACAAGAATAAACAATGCAGTGTTGGAATACTCTGAGATACCTTCCAGACATATTTCTCTATCATTCTATATAGTAAGAGAATCCCCATAGCTGATCCATAAAGGAAGGAAATAGAGGGAAATCTCTCACCACAGAGACACTGGCAAGCTGACAAATATGGTGAGATACCTTGTACCAACAGCATTACAAAAGTTAGAGGATGTGTGCTAGTAACCTCTCTTTCTCAACATACTAACAATAAATGTAGTGTCAGAGAAATGCCCCTGATGTGGCAACAGACTGGGGCCATAGCACATGAAAATCTAATCTACACAAGGTAAGAAACATGAGTGTCTTGTGGGCCACTTTATATAAGCAGAACTGGTGCAGTGTGCGGTGAACCAGATCCTGAGTGAAGGCACCTGATGCCAGCACTCAGACCCTAGAAAGGTACTGATTGATATGGACAAAAAACCTGGAATCTGCTCAAGAATATTAAATTCACTAGCCCTGAAAATGGATGGCAATGATCAGCTGGTTTATTTGGTAGAGCAAATGATTAGAGCTGAAATGATCTTGACTTATTTTCAAATTTTAGGGCTCAGTACAGACAGTCAAATACAGGCTGAATCAATTCATTCTTTGCAAGTTAGTCTAAGCCTTTTAGATTGACCCAATAAGAAAGTAAACAGACATTCACTTTTGAGTCTGGAAATGCAGCCACATGCCTGTATTGGCTCAAGCCAGAAGCCAGGGGGAACTAAAGCAGGTCTCCCTGCTTGGCAGGAGCAGACAGCGTGGGCCAAGGCTAGCCTGCCCACCCTGCAACGAGGGCTTGCAGGGGAGGTGCAAAGCATCCTAGGTTGCTGGGGAACTGTAAGTTAACTTGAATCTGGAGGGGATCTAGGACAGAAGTTCAACAAACCGATTCAACTTAAATCAGTTCTATCTGATACTACATTGACCCAGGTTTACATTACACCAGTTTCAGCCACTTTGAAAGCAGTTTATGTGGACTGCACTTCTGTTGTGTTACAGATTTGAACCAGTTTCTGATGAATTATACCAGTTTATGTGTAATTTCTGTCCCTAGCCTAGATGTGTAAGAAGCTGGCTCACTGTCATGGACCCAGGCAGTATTTATTCTGCATTTGCAACAATAAAAAGAACGTTCTAACTCTATGCATGGTTAAGAAATCGGAAAAGAAAAGTTCTGCAATCTTTATCATAGGAGGTTTTTTTAATTGCAGGTTAAACAAATCTTTGTCTGGGATGATTTAGATGGATAGGTTCCTGTGCTGAACAGGGGATTGGAGTAGCTGAACTCCTAAAGTCCCTTCCAGCCCTATTTTTCTGTGATTTTACAATCAATAAAAGCTATTGGATCACTGCCACAAAAAGTGGTTACTATGAAGGCACAACTTTCTCCAAATCAGATCCCTGGCATCCGAAACAGCTGGATCCGAAGTCGGATCGAATAGCTGCCTACTCGCACAGCCCTAATGAACAGTATGAGCAGGAAGAAAGCAGATAGGCAGTGATTTTTTTTTTCCATCTCCAACAGTTAAAAGACTAAATAATTAGCGCATAATGGTAACCCTTATAAAAGAATTGACTTCTCTTTCCCCGACTAGTTAGAGACAGAAACAGAAACATCATTGCAAATAGCAAGTTCTAAGCCTAGGTACTGATTGTCTTTCAAGTACAAGAGGGCAAAATAAACCTGAGAACAACAGGTAGCCTATAACAAAAACCAGGTTAGTTTTTCTCAAAACTGTTAGCAGAAATGTTGCATTTTCTTCATCAAAGCACTGACTCCCTAGATCTGCTTTAGCTTAAGCCAGGCTGTTCAACTTCTGGGAAGCTGGGGTCATGGGATGCACAAGGCGCAGGCCACAAACGGTCACTCACTGTATCAGCAATCCCCTCTCCCTGTACGTTTTCCCCCACCACACAGGCAGCCCAGCACTTACCCCATGACACATGCAGCATAGGCAGTCTGACACAGCACAGGCAGTACCACCCCTCCACACTCCTGCCCCTGCCAGCTCCATCTCCACCTGCAGTGCAGGCCGTCAGGCTTCTGTCTTTCTCGAGTACACTGTGAGCAGCTTGTTCCTGAGCCCTCACTGCACAAGCAGCATGGGCACTCCAGGCTCCTTCCACTGTGCTGTCATACTCCCCAGGAGTGGGGACAGGAAGCAGAGGCTAGAGGATGGCAGGGGAGCCGGAAGAACGTGGCTGCCTCAGAAGGAGCAACATTGGGGCTGCTAGACGGAAGCCTGTGGGCTGCATGCTAACCCTTGGGGGGCCACCAGTTAGACAGCTCAGGCTTAGGCCACAAACAGGCAATATATTTGTGTTGGGAGAAAAGCGTTCCTCCTGCATGGGACCTTACTGCAATGGCTGATGCCCCAGACTTACTGCTACAGAAGAATACCCCCCCGACCCAACCTCCACCCTCACTGCTCGGGGCTGGTCCAGAGCTATAAGGAGGGTGAGGGGGCAGACAAGCTTCCATGCTGCAGAAAACTGCCATTTAAGTACACAAAAAGATAAAGGAATTCACACTTAAGTGTTTTTCAAATTGTCTTTATCCTTACCTATAGATGGTGTGGGGAACATAGACTTCTCGAATGGGGAATTCCAGAATCTCTTTCTGAGGACGGTTACGGTTTTCAGGAAATGGTTTCACTGGCAGTAATTCAGGGGTGAGACAACAGTTGAGGACTTCTGAAGCTGGAGAGATCTCCAATTTAAGCAGTCCTGAAAAAAATTCAGTGAAAACTCAGCACTTCATCAATAAGAATGAATTTAGAACACCACCAAATAAAGCAATATAATACAGAAAACAAACCAAAAGAATAAATACCAAACCAAACACTTGTCCAAAATATCAAAAGTTGCAATCAGAAGTGTTAATTATTTGTAGTTTGAAGACTTCAAGAGGAACAAAACTTGGTTGGAAAAGGTATTTGTTATCTGGAAACACAGGAAGTAACTTGTAGATATCTCTATGCAGTAAGATAAAAGGCACTGTTTTCACTGATCTACTCTGCAAATTCAAGTTGACAGGGAGTAAGGAACTTGACATGCTGGGTGAGCTTTATCATCTGTTGCATGCTAAAGGGAGAACATTTTTTAAAGAGAGAAACTGAAAATAAAAGCAGTACTATATCTGATACTAAAAGGAGATGCCTCCTTTTGTGAAGATCTTCAAAATATGATTATCCATCTCTCCCTCCCACCATTGGGGATCAAAAAAGCATGAGGTAGTAATGTTAACATTTGAAGGGTCATAATCAGGCTTCAGACTTTTGCCCTGACTGTAAGCAGTTCACCACAGCCCAGAGCTGCTGTCTGAAGACCACAGTGGTCACTTTTACATCCGTTATACTCAGTTCACCTTTTAAAGGTCATCTTTAGCAACCCAAAAGGGCTGGAAACCTATTCTATTTAAAAGTACTTGCTGGTCACACCAGTGTGAGTGACCAAACTTAGCCTTTGCCTATGCTTAATTAATGGTCACTGAGTCAACTAACAGGAAAAGCAAGTCAAGGCTGTTAATCTGATCCATTCAAAATGGTTTTAGATAAACAGCAAGGCTTGATGAAGAGCTTGCTTTAATCCTTTCCTCCTCAAAAACTGATTAAGACAAAAACCTTGAATCAACTTGCTGTAAATTATTGATACAAGGGAACAAATTTCAGACCCTAAGAACTAACAATTTGTATCTACTGAGAAGAGCGAGTAAGCAAGTCAAATTAATAGCTGGCTTGGTCTAGTCATTAAAACATGGTCTAACACTCCAAACTATAGGCTTAACACCCAGATTATTACTGCACATTAAGATTGGGATTTTGACATTTAAGAAAGGTAGATACCCACTTTACACACCCTAAAGATTTTTACCTGGTATAGACTTAACTCTTCTCTGCAAAGAGGAAGATCTTTTATAATCAGCTAAAAATTTGAATAGATCTTCATCACTAAGTCGATCTCCTTCCTGTCAGGGCAAAGATAAATTAATAACTACATAAGTTATTTGATACAAGATAACAGATATACATCAATAGGGTCAGTCATAGTATTATCTACTTGTGAACTACATATATCTAAAGACAGCAATAGGTAACTGCTTGTTTCATGTGGGGAACAAAAGGATAATTCCCATTTGCACAGTATTTTTTCCAATTCTGTTCTCTTCTGTGTACAGATTTATCAACACAATGTAACGCTATGCATACTCTAAAATAAAGGTCATGCAGCACCTGTTTGAAAAAGGTGTTGATTGTCATGGTTGTTGTTTTGAAGTTTGATGCTGTGCAACTGTCCTCTAAGGTAAGGCTTCTGTCAGAAAGCTTTCTGGTGTGTTGCACCATTGTTCTTCTGTCACTAGTGGAGCTTTTCCCTGCAAGTGTAAATTATTAATTTTAAAAAATAATCTTATTTTGTTTCAATATAAGGTCCATCTTAAAGCAAAACAGGTACATTAGAACTTAGTAAGCAGAGATTGCAAGTGCCCTGCAGTATTGGGTAGGAAACATCAAAAGACATTACCTACATTTACATTTTCCATCAACTCGATTTAAGAGTAAGTACAAAATGACTTCTGCTGAAATGGACCTCACTGCTGCTGCTGAGCGCATGACTACAAATTACTTCGGCCAATGTTATGATGGGAGATGAGCCAATTTGTCCTGTTTGGTTTTTTTGTAAGTACCTTGACTGAGCATCATATACATATTGTGGGTGATTTGGAGGGCTTTATTGTGATCTCACAGCAGCCTAAATCTAGATGAACACCACTGTTGTTAATGAAGTTCTTCAATTCCAGAACTAGCATAGAAGTTTTAGATTCTAGAACTAGTGAGGAATCAGAATCGGGCATAGACAGGTATGGTGAGAATCCGCAGAATATGCACAAGAATACATTTAGGGGGTTTTCCTGCTAAGCATGTTAACTTACAGCTTTTTAGAGACAGAAATGCGAAACTGAGCAATTATAATTATGAAACTGGTGACCAGGGATCTGGGTTTTCCGTTTCCAAAGGAAAAACAGAGAAAAATATGGATTCCCATTTTTTAATCGGAGAAAACACAGATTTCTCTTTTTAGCAGAGAAATCTGCAGATTCTCCGCTTTTGCAAAGAGCTCTTGCAGACTGACACAGCTCCAGCCTGCAAGAGCAAATTGCAAAAAGGGTGGGAAACCCCCAGTCCTGCCTGGAGCAGGAGGGAGAGCGGGGAGGGCAGAGCCTGAGCCTCTGAGGCAGCCAAGGCCGGGCTCAGGCTCACACTCGCCCTTTGCCCTTGGAGCATGCAGGTAAATGGGGCTGTGGGACAGGGCTGGGGAAGATGGTTTGGGGGCTGAGGGAATGGGGGGTACTGCCAGCCCCAGGCAGCACATCGCAGCTGGGAGCAGGGCCAGGGGGTGAGGGCAGAAGTGCCCCTCCGCAGGGGGCTTTGCAGGCAAGCAATACAGGGCACAGTGTGGTGGTGCCTGCCATGTGTGGGCCGCACACATGCTGCCTCGCCGGCTGTCCGGGAGAGGGGGAGATGGAGACTGGCATGCAGCTGGAGCATAGCCCCACTTACCTCTAGGATCTAGGGGTGAAGGGCACGGCTCTGTGGTGGCAGCCTCCGCGTGTGAACCTCCTGTCAGGCCACCCAGCATGTGTGTGGCCCACAGAGTGGCACCCCTGCCCTCACCCCCCAGCCCTGCTCCTGGGAGTGGGCACAGGGGCATACTCCCCCGCTTCTTGATCTACTCCCCCAGCACATTCCCTTTCCCCCACCCTGCTCCACCCTTCCCTCCCCCCCACACACACACACTTACCTGCTGGGGTGGGTGTCAGTGTCTGTGTCTACGAGTCTGGGGGGCTGTTGCGAGCGGCATCAGGAGGGCTGTTGAGACTGTGGGGGGGAGTGCGGGGCACCAGCAGCACTGGGAGGGGCTGTGGGGGGCCCTTAATTTTTGTCATGGATTTGGGGATTTTAGTCAGAGAATTTGCAATTTTTAATCAGAGAAAACCAGGATCCCTGCTGATGACAATACTCTGATCCACTGACAGATTGCTTCCTAATATTTCCATTAGTAAAGATTTGTTTTGCATTAAAAACAATATTTAAATTATTACCATTCATATTTTCTGCCTCGGTTATTTCTCTTTCAAGTGTTGAAATGTTAAAGAAATTGGCTAAGCTTATGGGAACCCAGGCAAAAGGCATCCGGTATTTCCCCAAACGTTGGCAAAAGGACTCAGCTTGGGTTTTCAGTTTTTCAATTTTTTCTTTGCTCTAAAAGACAAATGCACACAGTCACACACAAAATCAATACATGAAAAAGCCCTAAATTTAACTTCAAAACAAAGCAGCAAAGAATGATTTTCGATGTGCATTCTTAACCTTTTCTAAATTATTTATCTAAAGCAAATGGTACTAGAGTGAGAGTCCTTCTCATATGAAGTATATATTGTGCAAGGCTACCTTCAGCATACAGAGTGGTAATGATGGTCCCTCTCTCTTTCTCTCTGTCTGGGTGAGATTAGCCACGCTGAGAAACGCCAGTGCAAGGCACAAGGCACCACTTTAGCCCATGTTCACCTTTAAAAAGGAGCTTCATAATTCTAAAAGCCTTGTACTGACACAGGGATGAATTTCATCCTCCATTTCTGAAGCATTTATCATTGCATCATGTAGGAACTGGTGTGGTGCAAGCAACTCGGTTCATATGCAGCAGTTCACTGAATAGATTGGAATAGCTTTCAAATAAATACTGGCTTGGTCCCAGTTTAAACTAGTGACCCAAAGATAAAAGAAGCTTAATCCATGTTATAGGAGGGCCGTAAGACACATAATATATACAGAATATCTGTAAGTATACACTGAGCTGAGTAAAATATGCATGTTTAAAACATTATGTTAAATAATTATGCTATAGAGCTTCCAGAGCCATGCATGGAAATTAGCAATTACCTTGCCATTAAAAGACGAGATTTGTTGCATCATTCAGAGTTAAAAACTTCTGTCTCTCCTCCCTCTTTCAAAGGCTTGTTAAGTTTTTATATGTAAATAAGGGACAGGCAGATATTCACCTGGTTTCCATGAACGTCACTATTTACTGACCTTGCACCCAGAGTGACGAACTTGATATTCATCATAACAAATCAAGAGATTTCATGATCAACAGTAATATAACTGTTCTTCTGAACTCTGACATGGTAATACATTTAGAAGTTCCAGAAACACTACTATCCCCCTCTCAAGGGATAAATAATGGTTAACCAAACCAACAGAAACATTTGAAGTGATAGTGTTTAACTGGCTATATACACATGCAGGGAGGTGGTTTACACACCCAAATCAATGCCATGTGTGCACAAATATTTGCACCACGTGTAGACATTACCCTTGGAAAATTTGGTCATGTGTTGTTTGACACTGCTCAAAACGTCCTAGGCATTGATTTCTGAAGTAGTAAATAAAAAGTATTGACTTCACCCATAACCTGTTTTCAGTCAGTCACCTGAGCCAGGATTTTCTATATATGTAACAAAAGACTTATTTCCATTCACTACCTTGCAGATTTTAATAGAAGTAGATGCTCTTTTTACTATTTTCCTCTTTGTTTGCTTGTTTTCATTTAACATCCATGGTATCATCATACGTACCTTTCCTCCCTCACTTTCTTTTAGTACCATGTAGGGTTCTGCACACTCTCCAATTTCTCCTTGCTGAAGGACTTTTTCAACCTACCAAAAGAAAAAAAAAACCCAAAAACAAAACCTGACAACCACGAATTAAAAAACCATACATGAAAGAAAGAAATTATTTTCCTGTCTGCCATAATAAGAGAACTGGACTATAGTCATAAGATTAACCCATTACTAAGACTATTAATATATTAAATATAAATTGTCTGTGATTTTTTTCTAGGAACAATCCATCATCACAATTCCCCTAGCTTTCAATCAGTGCTTACTGATTGAAAAAAAAAAAAAACCCTAGTATTCAGCAGAACAACCAAACTGGTGTTACTGCATTTGGGCTAGAATCAAGGGAAATCTAGCACCAAATGAAAGGAGAAGCTCACCAACATCATTTTGAGGTTTAAAAAGAAATAGTTCCATAAAACATATCAGGTAAAAACTTCAGAAACAATGACTCGTATTCAAAAGTAGAAATGGTTTACTTCATTTTGCTTTTAAGTTTCTTTTGGACAGTCACACTGGGAACCATGAAAGTTTGGCAGAACTACAACGCTGGGCAGTGAGACATGTCTGTAGATTCTTACACCAACACTATCATAGATAACAAAAAGTCTAGACAGCACAACATTTTTGCTTGAAAATTTTATAAACCCAAACTATGTCTATGGTCAGAAACTGTGGGATAGAAACCAGCAAAAAACAGAAGTGGCATTGATACATACCTTTACCACTAAGTAGATATCAGAAGAAGGATAAGTAACAGAAAATACTGCAGATCTTGCCTGACTAGATAGCTCAATGGTGAGTGTGTGAGATCGCAAGAATCCTTTGAATTGTTCTGAGTTCAGGTCACAATGAAAATTTTCAGAGATCTGTAAAACAACAACATTTCCATGAATTTATTATTCATTGAAAAGTTAAATTATATGAAAAGGTACTTTTAAAGTCTAAAAACAATAGCTAGTAATGCAAGCTTCCCCACCAGCAAAGAACAAAAATAGCCTCCCCCACCAACAAGGAATTAAAGTTTGCAAACACACAACATTATATGTATATCGGATTACATCATTACAGCCTGATCCCCAATGAAGTTGATGCCACCTTGCACCACCCAGTGTCTCATGGCATTGTAGCATGAGATCATTTGGTGCGATTGCCTTATGACTACATCCTGAAAAGGAGGAACCAAATATAAATCAGAGAACACATGCTGGACTGACATGTTATAAACAAGCTTAGGATCTGCTGTAAGCATCCAAAACATGCAACTGTTGTTGTATAAGGATGGCAGCAGAATTTCAGCATATTTCCAACAAATACATTTTTTATTTTTGGCAACATAATATAAATTAATAGTTCAAAAGACAAAAAAGTCACAAAATATAAGATAAGGGGCCAGACTGTAATGAAATTCACCTGAAAAAAAGCAGTTATTAACCAATACAATATTTACGCTTTGTTATTGCTCTTTGTTCTGCTCTGTTGCATTCTTACCTTTTTCCTTTCCTTTATATCATAGAGAGCTATGCATGCAAACAATGGTTCTATTTCTATATCAAACCTGTAAAGGAGAGAGAGACAGAGTATTTGATTAACATTTCACTCTTGTGACCTTCTATAATCAAAAATAGAGGCTGTATCTGGCATTTCCTTTATGAAATAAGTAGATATTGGCATAATTTCAGAGATCTCAACTGTTCCGAAGCTAAGGGAGAGGAGCGGGTCGGGGAGGTTTATTCCGTTGGAAGATTCCCCCAGCATGGGAGATTTCTCCAGTCTTACATAGATACCATAGGAGTCAAAATTTCAGCATGAGGAATGTGGCCATAAACAAACCAAAACGCACAGTCAAGGTAATTCAGTACCCTTATGATTCTGAGGCCTTTGGCACAGTTTACAGCAATGCTGAGGCTACAGCTAGAGAGTTGACCAGCAGGAAGCCACCCACAGCACTGAGGAGCTTGAAACAGGTCTTTTTCCCCTAAACATTGCCTTCCTTATCATATACATCCAAGACTTATTATTAGATGTAGCAAAGAATTTGTCCTACATATTTTCTGATAACCTAAACAACTTTGTAACATGGGTACATAAGTAAGTGGTTCTAAGAAGCACAAGGGAGAAGTTAGATGTTTAGATGAACTTTCCCATGTTTCAAGGAACTTTGTCATCCTAGTTATAGACCACTTCCATATATAAAAAGAACCCAACACCATACAACGAGCATATGAATTGGCTCCTAAAAATGTTCAGTTATGCCCTGGACCTGTTTTTCTTGGATAGTTTCTCTCTCAGAAAATCTTTCAATGTGTAGTCATAGAAAACAAGACAAAGAAAAAAGTGAGAAATCCAAACAGAACTGCAACATTAAGTCTGCCTTATAATGGGTGCTGAGAAATCTGCTCTAAATGATGTAGATATATTGTATATTACAAGACAATTAGCATGTAAAAGTGACATGAAGTTTGTCATGAGGGCAGGTGAAACCATAAGGCATAGGAAGACACTCACTTCAGAGTCTGCAACTTCACCAAGATCCTATTTCCCAGATGTTCCTTTGGGCAGTCTGGAACTGGCCGTACAGCTGCAGCATCTTCCTGTTATTAATCACATTATTAAGCAGTTATTAATTCTATATGGAACCTTAACTCTGTAACCAGACAAGACCATAATGCATTGCCCCAATTGGCAAGCATTTCATTTTTTAAGGAAAAAAGAAATTTACTATAATGGAGTTCATCTAACTGAGACTGTCTGAAAGTGCTCTTCCCTTTGACTTGCAAATCAGCTAAGAAGGGTTTCAGAAGTGTGAGTTTACCTCGTCCACTGTTGGATAAAGGGCAAAGAGCTCTGGATGTCTGTTGGTTCTCCGGGCTTCTTCGTTTTGCCTTTCAAAGTCCTCTGCACTAACATGTTTTAGCAGATTTTCGAGTCGACGGTCAGGCTGCAGGCTTCGTAGATCGAACTCAGATGAAGTAAGAGTGCTTCTTGATGAGATATCACAGAGTCCACTTAAGTGTCTGAGGCTTGCCTGTAGGAGAGGGACTAAGTGAAACCTCTTACAAAGAAAGAGCAAGTTGGAAACTGGAGTAATCCAGAACTTGTCATTAATCAGAATTAGCCTTGTTAAAAATATTTCCTCATTCATCTCTTCTGTGAGGCCTACAAAGCACCAGACTATGGCAAGGTAGCTGGTGTTATGACCACTGATAATTATACAATTTACTTCTCACTGCTACATTCTTCCCTCTCTACCCATCTGTGTTTGCTGCCTCTCACAATATACTCAAAACGTAAACCCGGATGGGAATAGATAATCTTTTTTGTTATGAGCATGTACACTACTCCAGCACACTGGGACTCCCAATTCCTGGTTGGGGTTTCTAGGTCCTACTACAATACAGATAAAACAATATGACAGTTCTGATGTCAAATCAATCTATTATAAGACCCCTCTGTATCATTTAGCTTTATTTGCTCTATGGCTAGTAGTTGGACTGAAGCTGGAACTGTACTGAAAAAAATTAAATTGTCACTCATGCTTGGGCAAGGCTTAGCTGGGATGGGTTAGGCAGGGACTGTCTTGGCTTGAGTAGTGGGTTGGATTAATGACCCACTGAGATGTCTTCTTCCAGATGTGTTCCAATTCTATTTTTCAGGGATTTAACTGGATTTCTGTTCAAAGGAATCCAATTTAAGAAGTCTGGTTGTGAGCTGGGTTTTCTTTATTAAGAGCTAGGATAATAGTAAAGAAATCAGGCAGTGTATACAGACATCTCTCACATTACTACAAAAGAGCAAAGGGAGCACTGTACCAGGAACTGTACTATGTTTCTGTATCCAGTTACTTTAACGCCACCAGACCAGATAAAGGACAAGAAGTCCTTTTTTAAGTACATAGGGAGAAGAAAGAAGGCCCCAGGAAACGTGGGGCCCTTGCAGGACAAGACGGGGATTCTGGTTGTCACGCCAGACGACAAAGCCAACATATTTAATAACTTCTTTGCCTCTGTCTTCCTCAGTAAGGACCAGAACTGCCACCTCCCTGCTGGGCCCCCTTTGGGCCCCGGGGGAGGCTCACCTGGGCCTAGAGTGAGTGAGGATTTAGTTAGGGAGCTTCTGGAGGGGCTGGACATTTTTAAGTCAGCCGGCCCGGATGATCTTCACCCTAGAGTCCTGAAGGAACTCGCTGGGGTCATTGCAAGTCCCCTGGCACGGCTTTATGAACACTC